GAATTGAACCTTAGTTTCAGAAGCAGACTCTCTGGGTAGACTTAAAATTCAAGTCAAAAACCAGGTGCCAGTGGCTTGCACTACTCAGGATATGAGAATTAGAGTTCAAAGCCAGCCCAGTCAGGAGAGTCCTTGAGACTCTTATCTCCAATTAACCACCAACAGTTAGAAGTGGTGCTGTGGCTCAAGTCGTAGGGCTTTTGCCTTGAACTCTGGGCCTGGGTGCTATCCCTGAGCCCTTCAGCTCAAGTCCTTTGACAAAGAAAATAATGCTTTGGTGAAATGGGTTAAATATTCTGCCCACCATTACTCTTAAGATTCTGTGGCACAGAAACCAGAAAAACAAGTGGTCCACTTCCTACTATGATGAATCTCAGATCCTCAAGGGCATGGAGTGCATGATATGTCATTCAAACACGGCCTGGGGAAACTTGTAAGACCCTGCTGATGCTGTTCACAAGAGTATGGATCTAAGACAAAAACCCTATCTTCCCAAGCCAACTATACCCCTTGCTTCTCTAGGTACGGGGAGGGGTAATTGGCATTTCTGGGAAACTTATCAAGATGCAGTAGAATCAAAACCTTGAAGAGATGAGCAGTAATCACTAAATATAGTCAGGGGAGATATCTAATGGTAATGTGGAGGACCAGTGTTGTAGACCTTCTTGGCCAACTAGAGTAGAACCCGTACTTTGGTTCAATTGGCCATCCCTTTCACCCTAGCATTTCATGCACTTGTCCATTCTCAAACATTTTATACTAGTTAGGAGAGACCCCTTCCCTAGAGGGTCATTCGTATTTCCTAATTATTTAGGTGCTTTTCAGGATCCTCCCTGACAAAGTTTCCAAAAAGTTCAAAGCTTGAAACCAGAAAGCACCTTATGAATCAGTTTTATTCTTATGATTAGTATAAATAAAATATTTTGGGGGTTGGGAATATGGCTTTGTGGAAAACTGTTTTCCAGCATGCATGAAGCCCTGGGTTTTATTCCTCAGAACCACATAAACAGAAAAGGCTGGAAGTGGCACTGTAGTTCAACTGGTAGAGTGCTAGCCTTGAGCAGAAGAAGCTCAGGGAGCTCCAGGACTGGCAAAAATAAAATATAGAGTAGAATAAAATCAAAAGAGGTTTGTTATTTATACTAAAAAAATTTTTAATCCATAAACTAAATGCTCTAGTAGGATGGCATGGGAAAATTAGCTGTAGAAACATTATCTGACAAGGTAAGAGCTTCTGTGGTGATTGGAGACAAAAGTTGCACAAAGAACATTTTTTCGGGGAGGGGGGTTCCGGTCGTGGGGCCTAAACTCTGGGCTTGGGCACTGTCCCTCAACCCTTCAGCTCAAGGCTAGCACTCTACCACTTGAGCCACAAGCCACTTCCGGCTTTTTTTCTTTTTAGCTTATGTGGTGCTGAGGAATCAAACCCAGGGCCTCAGGCATGCAATGCACACACTCTACCACTGAACCACCTTTTGATGTTGGTGCCCTCCATCTTGTATATAGAGTTCACTAGATTGAGGAGGAAAAGGGGAAAAAACTTAAAGGGGAATACAGGTTGACCCATTATAACAATGAGATGCACAAGACACTGTTGAAAAACAAACTTTACAATTTAGGCGGGGGTCGGGGAGAGTGTATGGAGTAGTTTTGGAGCTAGGAGGTTAGGGATGGTAGGAGACATATAAAGGAGGAGGTAACAATGCTTGATAGGAAATGTATGCTTTACCTTGCTCATGTAACTAACCCCTCTGAACAGTATTTTTACAATAAATATATAAAAATAAAAGAATAAATGTACTTCAAAGGTAATCTGTGTGGTGGTTGGAGGCCAATGATACAGAAAGACTTACAAGGATTGAATACTGGAAACAAATTACCTAAAAACTGAGATGATGCTGAGTATAATCCTAAATGCTCAGGTGGCTGAATTCTGAGGATCTTTGTTTGAAGCCAACCCAGACAGGAAAGATGAGACTTTTATTTCCAATGAAGGTGCAAAAAAAGATACTACTGGAGTTGTGGCTAAAGTGGTAGCCTTGAGTAAAACTGCTCTGGCACAATGCCCAGAGCATGAGATCAAACCCAAGACCAATCCTCCAGTCACTTATAAAAAAGGTTGTGTGTCTGTGTGTGGTGGCAGATCCCTTTACTAGTTTGATGACAGAATGAGCATTTTAACAATGAGTCATGGTGGCAATATTTACCTCTTTAGTAATTGTTTCCTTAGTAATGTGTGCACAGGTGCTTTATCTCTTCTATAACAGGTTTTGTTCAGTGACTGACTGAAAAACTGCCTTAATCAAACCCTTTTTTAAATCAAAATATCTTATTGGATACTGCTGAATAGGAAAGTCAATGATTATTGTTTGGAAGAAAAGAAAGCAAAATGAGATGGGAGAATTGTAGAAGTTAAATCTTGAAGTGCTTGACTGATATAAGCACTGTCCTTGTAAAGGTAGTCAAAACCTTAGTAATGCTATTTTAGAGAAGTTCTAGGGGCTAGAGACATGGCACTAGTAGTAGAACACCAGCTGAGTAAAAGTTGGTTATTTTTCATATGGCCAGGTGTTCGGATTTGGTTGATTATTAAAGCTTTTGACTAGTTTGAAAGGGGTCAAAATTTTGATCCATCATGAAAGATGATCCCAAAGCTCAAATTCATGGGAGCCAGTGGTGGGCTGCCTAGCCAGTGTGCTTATTCAACTTGGACATGCAACAGGATGCCTTCTGCAGGAGTAAACTTTGCCTTGCTGAGATGGTGTTTGTAGGATACCTTAATTGCCCCCGGTATTTCCAACAGAGATCTTCTGTGCCATTCATGAGGCATCCTACACATCCAGCCGCCCTGTTGAGCCAACCTCCTGGATGGTCTAAACATGCCATTCCTGGTAGCTGATAATGGAACTAGGTATAAAGTTAATCTGCAACATCAGGAAGAGCTACAAACAGACACACTCAGAAGCAAGCAACTTCATGCATTGGCCTTGCTAGAAAAAAATGAAACTATGTATCCTGCTTTGGTACTTGTGTCTTTGTAGGGATGGTGTATGAGAGAAGTGTGTTAGATTCAGGCTCTTAAATTCTTTCTGTCTAAGAGTCTTGATCTGCAAATTCATTTGTCCAGCTAGGAAGAGTGAAAAGTTGGAGATGGAGTCATCTCTGAGAAAAATCTCTAATAATGGAGTTGAGAAAAGGGAAGAATGAGAAACACAGTCTGAAGGGAAAAGTGTACCAAAAAATCTTACTCCCATTACAGCATGTCTCTGTGATTTAAGAATTCTAAACCTAGGAAGCTCAAGAAAATTGGAGCTAAAAAGCCTCCCTCAGACATTCTTAATATTGTCTTCTTTTAGGGAGAATGTGGGGAAAGCTATGAAAATATGTGTTAAGGTTCATTTTTATTTTTGAGCTCTAATTTTAATGTTCACTTGTTAAACTAAATCCTCTATATGCCTGTCTCTGGGTAAATACTCATCAACATGAAATATAAAGTGATTTTGATAAAAAATAAAAATGACTCAGAAGAAATTATAAATACAAAACAATCTTCACAGAAGCAAACTCTCAGAGATATTTCCTGACTTTGACAAGGATAAAGTGGGTGAAGTTAGTATAAATTTAGAAGTATGACAATGCACAAAAACATAACAAGATACTCATATATTTCATTATATAACCCAAAGCAAAAAACAAATGTTGTTTAGATGATTTTTAAAATCCAGTCTCTCAGGTACTGGGAAGGTGGCTCAATGGTAGAGTGCCTGCCTTGCATGCATGAGGCCTTGGGTTTTTTTTCGCAGCATCACATAAGCAGAAAAAGTTGGAAGTGCTGCTGTGGCTCAAGTGGTATCACTAGCCTTGAGCTGAGGGACAGCACCCAGGCCCCAGAATTCAAGCCCCATGTCCAACAAAATAAAAATGAAAACAAAACAAAACAAAACAAAGTCTCTCACTTTTCTGTCTTCAACTTTGTAATAACTCTGCTTCAGCCTAGGGCTAATATTTTAGGTGTGGACATGTATCAACACTCCTGAATCAGACTCTACTTGATCATTTTTTAAATACACATTTTGTTCTTAATTTCCCTCTTTATAAATTCACATACACCTATAAAAAATGGTGTGGCCATCCCAATACCCTTCTCAAAGTACCTCCTAATGACAACTTACAAAAAGTTGTATTATATTACAAGAAAAACAATGCTACAAATAAAGAAAACCAATAATTAAATAATAATGATTAATAAAATAAAAAACAATTATCATTTTTTCAGTTTTTGAAGTGTATTACAAATTAGATTTTATTATTGTCATATTTCTTTACATTTAACACTGGCTAAGACTATGACGTTCAACAAGAATTTTATAGGCTATGAGTAGTGTTTAAATCACCCACTAAGATTACCATTTATAGTTAATCTCATAATTTGTATATGGCTTATATCATCATTTGTTCCTCACTAACATATAAAGTAAGGAAGGCCTACAGTTTTAACAGAAACTGTGTAGTTAACATAGTCAACTCTTTATTCTGCTCCTTTACACAAAGACTTTTCAACTTCTCATTAGTAAGGTTTCAATAAACTCTGAAATGTACATACTCAGTAGTAGTTATGTGCTACCATAAATCTTAAATACTTTATAGAAAAGTATTATGACCTGCCAAGCAGTCCCAGTTTTGGCATATATAAGCAAATTCCCAAAATTAAATATATTTAAAACATTAAATATTTTAACAAACCTTAACACTTGCTGCAGTGTTCATTATGACAGGTCCCTTGTATAGAATAATTGAATTCCTCCTCCTACACATCTCTTGAACAACAAATATCTGGAATTATTTTGTTTTTGACATGTCAATCTTGATTTTTTCTTAAATGTGTACTTATGTAAGAAGTACATGGTTCTAAAATTTCATGACAATTCTTTTAAACTTACGTTTTGTTGTATTGTCTAGTTTAAGAAAATCAATTACAATTTATATATAAAAAATATTCTTTGCTCAATTCAGCATCACATACACTAACATTGGAATGATACAGAGAAGATTAGCTGGCCCCTGTGCAAGGATGGCAGGCAAATTTCTGAAGCATTCCATCGCCCAATTTGTTAGGAAATGGAAAGACTTGGAAAAAAATTAAGTGAAGTAAGCCAAGTCCAAAGAAACGTAGGTCCCATGGTTTCTCTAATTTTCAATAACTAATATATGTCTGGGATAAGCAGAAAAGGTCAAAAGTTATGTGTATATGACCAGATAAGATTGTGTTAAGGGAAATGAACCCCAAGTTAGGGACACAAGTGGTTTTTTTTTTCTTGCTATTTTTTCTTACATACTTATGACGTGCAGAGTGTTTTTTTTTTTGTTTCTTTACATGTTCCTCCCCCATGCTATAACACCTGTTTTCACTGTATTTGAAGTTGGTGTGCCTACATCTTGTTTATACTCTCCTCTAATTTTTTGAGAGGAAGGACAAAAAAACCCAAAATGCTTAACTAGGGATACAGGTTGACCCATGTAACAATGAGATGCACAATACACTATGTTGTAAAGTGAACTTTACAATTGAGGCCGGGAAATGGAGGGGGTTAATGGACTTGTGGAGGTGGGAGGGAAGGGATGGTAGAGGAACAATAAAGGAGGAGGTAACAATGCTTGTTAGGAAATGTACTCATTACCTTGCTCATGTAATTGTTACCCATCTGTACAATATTTTTACAATAAAAATGTATAAAAATGTTCTAAGATGGAAGAGTTTATTTCCTTTATTTTACTCATATAATTTCGTTAGCAAAGAAATTCATGCAAAACTCCGATATGAAGGTAATTTGAATAAATATGTTTGTGAACACACGCATGTGCTTAAGCACTTGCATGTGTGTTGATGTGCTCAGAGTTTGAAATCAGGGCTTCAAGTCTTGCAAGGCCTTTTCTCTCTAGATTGGTGTGCTACTAAATGAGCTACATCTCCATTCTTGGCCCTTTGCTAGTTCATTAAAATTTTTGAAAAATAATCTCATGAATTTCATTTGCCCTGATTGGGTTTCAACTGTTATCCACAGATCTCAGGCTCCTGAGTAGGTATCCCAAGTAGTTAGGATTACAGGTCTGACAAACCAGCAAAGACTTTCAGAATAAGGTTAAAAGTAGAAGAAAATTTACTTCAGAGGGGCATGTTTTAGCATCTCCAATTTTAAAGCATTTTGGAGTGATTATTTATGGTTTTTTAAATTTTTGGTTACTTATAAGAAAGTAGATGATGATATTTAAAAGTTTTAGTACTTTTTAAAAAGGATACTGGAATTGTGGGACAGAAGAAATTTGCCTCTCTTTGGACCTCAATGTATAAGCTCAGCTCTGAGCATGATAACCCAATGTCACCAACACAATCTGTGTTGAAGACAAATGTGACAGAAAACAATCACCATGGGCAATATGAATATTGAATTGAGAGTGTCATAGAATGGAGAGATTTTATCTACCTTTTGTGTATTGCTGAAAGACTTTTGGAAACTTTGACTCATTTCCTTCCTCACTGTGTGTGTCTTTAGGTCATGCATTTACTGCCTTTAATTACAATTCTTCCCAACACTAAAATGGTAATAACATTAACATTATAGCAAATGTTATCTTAAGAATTAAGGGAATAAAACTTGTGAAATACTTAACATAAACTTCTAGGAATGAGCTTTGAGTTTAGCCAGCATTCTTTTTAAAATACTAAATAGAATGTGATAAGTAGTACAGAAACCATTACATGTAGTTAGCAACCAGAAGTAATATCTATTGATCATGCTCTGCTTCCAAGGAAGCCAGGTGGATAACTTCTCTTGCTGTAAATCAAACTGGTTATCTTATGTCTTGATAGTGTAAAAATATCAGGGACAGAATGATGAAAGAATGTTGTAGACTGAGATGAAATCCATATGAAAATGTGCAAAACGGATAAAACATAAAATTATCTGAGCAGTATATTGTGTTTTACAACATTTAAGTTACATCGCAAAGATAAAGAAGACATAGAAGAATAAATTCATTTTTTTGTTGTCCCATCATAGGTCCTTAAAATGATTAACTCTTTCCTCATTCTTATACAGGCATCATCGGATGAGAGGAACTGTATTTTTTTTTTGTTTGCTTACTTCCATTTATTCTTCAGTTTGAAATCTGAGCTACTTGAGACTGAAAGAAACCAAGGGAAATTAGACAAACAGGCTTTGGAAAGAACAATCAATGTAAAATAAATAAACTACAGCCTTGTAACAGGTCTAACTAAATTGAGTTATATACTGTCAATTGTTAACACAAAATGATTTAAGCAATACCATGTTATTAAAAACTGAAAAATGTTAGGAGTTGCTACATTTTTTTCTTTTATACTACCTTGAATTGATAATTGATCTAATTTAGCAAGATTAAAGATGAGATTAACAGAAACTGGATCAAAAATGGACAAAAAGTTTGAATAGACATGTTCTCAATAAAGCCCTGAAAATTGCCTGTGGATTTACAAAGTTGTGTTTAATACAACTTCTATGCTGCCTTAATGGTTTTTGAGCAGAAGTCATTAGAGAAATATAATTCAAAATTACTATGATACAACTTCATAACTATTATAACTTATCAAAAAATTAGTGGAACCAGTTATGGTGGTAAAGGCTTATAATTCCAAGCATTTAGGAGGTTGGATTTAAGTCTAAGGCCAGTCTAGGGTAATGCAGATAGTAAAAACCTGCCCTTTATTACCTTTGAAGAAAAGGTAATAATGTTGGTGAGAGTGTGCAGAAAAGGAAATTATCTACACTATTGGTCAAAAAACAGGTTAGTATTCTTGTTGTAGAAAGTAGTATGCAAGTTTCTAAAGAAATCCAAAGTTGAGATATCATGTGACCCACCAATCATGTGATTATTTCTCTCTAGGTAACTCGAAAATAAATCTGTAGTTCATTGTTATTCACATTATTCACAAGAGCAGCCAAGATATAAGTCAATGTTCAGTGTTCAACTGCAGACTATTAAAGCAACTGTGGTACAAGCACAAATATCTTTTTCTGTTTCATCCTTAAAATAACAAGAGACTGCTCCCATTAGCCACAACTTACAATGACCTGAAAAATGTATTGGAAATGAAGAAAAATGTTGTGTTCTGATCTTTGTAAACACACACACACTCTCACATACACACGCACACACACACACACACACACACACACACACACACACACACACACCAACCTCAAATATTAAGACAGAATTTTTTTTTAAGTAAAGCAAAGTGGAACATCTGGGGCATTTAGTTCACAATGTAGAAGATACTAGATATACAGTATGAGGTATAGAGTTGAAATGGACATGAGAATACAGGGGACAACATTGGCCTTACATAGGAATGAAGCTAAATAAGTAGGAGTTGTTCTTCCTAGTAAGGTTGCTCTTTTAGTTGTTCTTCTTTCAGTAATGGATAAGATGAACGTAATTTTTTCAATATACCTGCCTGTTTGCAGAAATGATAACAAACAATATAGCAATAATGTTGCACGCTCAACATAGAACAAACTGTCAAATTAAAATACATGAGATTATCCTTGATGTAAACTAATTATTACAAATAAGGGAAACCATGGGAACTATGTTTTTTTTAAGTCTGGCTTATTTCACTTAATATGATATTTCCCAAGACCTTCATTTCCTTACAAATGAGGTAGTAACTTTCTTTCTGATGGAAGCATAGTATGTGTGTGTATGTGTGTATGTGACTGTGTGTCTCATTTTCTTGATCCATTCATCTACTGAGGGGCATCAGGGTTGATTCCATATCTTAGCTATGGTAAATATTACTGTGATAACCATAATTGTGCTGGTAGCTTTAGTGTGGCCTTGTTTGTGGCCATCTGGTTAAATGCCCAGAAGTAGGATTACTGGGTAATAGGGAGCATTATTGTGTACATCAAGGATAATATTAGTAGATGAGCAGAATAGCTCAATAGCTATGTACATATGACCGTATAAGGTGATTCTAAGTGAAATGAACTCCAAGACATGTTCTTTGTTGTTGTTGTTCTTAATGTACTACATGATTTATTTTTTTTCCTTTTTTATGTTTTCCCACCTATGGTTTATCCCCTGTAGTCACTGTATTTGATTTTGGTACCATGCGTATTGTAAATATGTTGATCCGAACTGGGGAACGGGAAGGAAAAAAAAATAGTGAGACAAAGGACAAAGGGGGAAACTATGCAACAGTGTTACTCACAAAACAATAGCTTGGAAACGATCTTGGGAGGTGCATTGGTAGGGAAGAGGGAGAAAAATGGGTGAAGGGGTAACAAGATAGAAAATAAATTAATTCATGACCTTAATTATGTAACTATAACCCCTCTGTACATTACCTTGACAATAAAATTAAAAATATATATATATGAGAGCAGCAATACAGTCGGTGGGACTAGGGGAAATGCTGTACTATACAAAGAAAAGTATAACAGCTGTGGAGAGCAGCAACTTGACTTTAATGTAGGAAGTAATAAACTAGCGTACAGATTTTCAGCCTCATGTCAGTCACTAAAAAGGGAAAACAAAATGCATAATCAGCAAACCAATACAGATAAAATAGAAAAATAAACAATTGAGGTGAAGAAATGACTTGGATCAAGAATAACAAATGACACAATTAGAAAACAATAACAAGGTGGTAAGTTTAATAAACATTACCCATAATTCTATTAAATGTTGTTTACATCACAATTTGTTAGAACTATAATTCAAATCACAGTTTAATAGTATATCATTTTAGTAATAGTTTACTTATTATTGATTACTTCATATTGAATGTTTAATATATAATTTTACTTTCTGCAGATATAGAAAAGAAAAAAATGAAACTAATTTTAATAAATTAATGTAATAATTCAAAGTGTATCCTACACTTAGCACTCATCTTAACATGAAAAAATAAATTATTGCACCTCACTCTTGGTATTAGGTGGAAGGTTTCAGCATTGTAGTAAAATTCACACCACACAATACAGGAGGGTATGGCTCCTCTAATCTAGCTTAAATTGTGGAAATTTGAATTTTACATGCATGTTTAATTCCTGTCTAGGTGACATCTA